TAAAGGACTCTGGTCCTTCCTGAAGAGATATAGCATGGGGTAGAGCTCATTTTTACTTGTTCTGGCATTTGCTCACACCCTGTTATTGACAAGACTTCTTGCCAAAACCAGTCTCCCTCCTTATCACGTAATTTATACGTGCTTCTTCGTAGCAGTCTCTTTCTCTTACTTTGATGTCCTTTGAGTCTAAGCCCCTCCAATGATCAAGCAGAGAGGTGTGTATATTGACAGTGTGTGTAAAAGATGAATGCGGTCTCATTCTCCCCGGGTTGTGCTCCCTGCTCCTCCAACTCAGTACAAACTGAGACTGTTTTAGGCATTTAAGCTAATGAAAGATTAGCATTTCAGAAGTCTATGAACAAAGTCCAGAATTTTGTTGTTGTTATTTATATACTATTTATACACATATTTATATACTATTAGCAAATCCAAGACTTGTGCAGTATATGCTTGTGCTACCCTTATGTCATTCCTGTGTACTGCAGTGTATAAATTATTCCTATTGGCCATTGCTGGCTGTGTCTTGAGAAGGTAGCACTGAAAAGGAAGCACTTTCTGCTCCTTTGCAGAAATGCAGCAACTACACTAAATACAGCTCTGAGCTTAGCCTGCTTTCTGCTTGATTCAGCTGTCTCAGATCTGCATTTCTCCCTGAAAATCACTTTGCCTTCTGTAGGGGTAATGACAGGACTGGCTTTAGATAACAAAGAAGAATGCCAGGTATGAGGAGCTCTGGAAACCCATGCCAGCCTTAAATCAGCTTTACGTTTGCCTCAGCGGGGGATGAAGTTCTTGGGAAACAGGTCAGAAGGACAGGCTTGCAAGGGAAAAAAAACCAACAACAACACGCTGCTTCATTTCTCAGAAAAAGAATATTATCTCTCTTCCTGCTCCTCCTCCAGAAGCAGCCATTTCTGATTCCTGAGATAAACACAACTGTTTTTTCTGTTCCTCCTTCCTTTCCCAAGCTCTGTTTTCATAGCCTCTCCTCTGCTGCAGTGCTCATGGGCAGCTGGGAGCTTGGGAAGGTGCCTTCCAGTTTCCTCCTCCTCACCACCTTTCCTGTTCCTTTGTCTCCCCAGACCTGAGCAGAGTGTGCCAGCATAGCCTCTGTGCTATTCTATTTGCTGTTCTATTTGTTTTCCATTGATTGTGTAAAATCCATTTGAGGGCTCAGGTATTCCTCACTAATTTTGCTGTATTTTCTTATTCCCTTACTCCTCCTGAGAGAAGAGGAAGTTTTTACAGGTTAATTTTCCAGACCAGCTGCATGTCAATAAACAGTTATACAATGTTTACTTACTGCAAAGGAAAAAAGCCTGCAGTGATCTATGAGGGGGAAAGAAAAAAAAGTAGGGATCATTTTTTCATGCCTGAACAATGGAGTTCTGCTGGATGAGCTCACAGCAGCATCTGCAGTGGAAACAGTTAACGTTTGTGTTTAAAAAAAAAACATGAACATGAGACTAAGGTGGAACATTTAAAAATAACTGTTCTTAATGTTGCTACGGAGACTTTTATTATAGACATAGTACGTGATGTGCATTGATTACATTCCACATAGGTAGCATTTCTCACTCAGACTAGTAGAAACTGACGGTTCTCCCACTTGTACGAGACAGTATGAAGTAGCATGCAGGTCATGGTAGAGAGGAGGTGTACTTGAGTTTTCAACTCTTAAAAAACTGTAAGTGTGCAGTTTTAATACGCTATTGACTGTTTCTTGCCCTTGCAGATACCCCTTGTTTAAGACATTTTGCCTTTTCTATAGCAGAAGTGTGTAGGGTTGTAGCAATGCTGGTGATAAACATAGTGATCCCATCATAAAAATAAGGGCTATAATTCATGTGGTTGGCACTGCACGCATTTACAGCTTTCTGTTAAATCTTAGTAGTTTCAATACATTACATTCAAATAAAAAAATATATTGACTGCTTGAAAGACTGCATTTGCCTTTGAGCTGGCTTGATTAGACCATAGTATTGAAGGCAGAAAACGCATTGCTTGTGCTCATGCACATAGACTCCTTTATAAAAATGCTGTTGAGAAAATGCTGCTGATCGAAAGCTGTTAAGTCAAAATCTTGGCCAAAAGAAAAAAGGAAAAAAAAAAAAAATTACCGTATTCTAAGCTTTGCTCATTCCAGTAAAAATAACAGTGGATGGAAATGCAGCCCTCAAAGAACTTCAGTTTCACTTTTATATGACAGTTTTCATCTCTCTGAATTTTTTAATATTGACTTGGATTAAATAACCTTGTATGGATGAGAAATTTTTTGCAGATTCAGGAAGCCAAGCTTCTTTGGGGCTTATTTCATAGAAGTTTTAGATTTCATATTGAAAATATTTACTTCAATTTTTCCATTTGTTAGACAGACAGCTCAATAAGTAAATTCAAGTAGAAGTGTGCAACGCAGCACTTCAGGCAGCTGTGGTTTCACAGCCGTGCTTTTAAAACTGCTGGAATAACTGCAGTTGGTGGGTAGAATTTATAACTGATTTGCTGAGGAACTGAGGACAGCAGACAGGTTCCTCCCTTCTGTCAGCTTGCAGACCTGAATTCTCCCTTCTCAATCGTCCACCCTTCGGTACATTACTGAAGCTATGAGAAGAGAGCCTGTCCTAAAATGGGAAAATTATCCTCTGATTAAGAATGATTTGAATTTTGTTCTCTGTCCGAAGTTCAGAACTGAATGTGAAGGACAAAGGTTTAAATCACACCACTGCCAAGGGTTTTTATCTACCATTTTTACAGATAATCCGAATGGTAGAGGGAAAAAAAATATCTCAAAGTAATATTTCTCTTTATTATTGTTAATCTTTTCCTTCTCTAGGCAGTTCATTTAGCCCATTCTCCTAAAGTCTTATGCCTTGTATAATTATGCTTATGTACAAGCTGTATAACACAGCTTTCCAAGTGGCAAAATGCCTGTGAAACTACAAGGCGCTTTTGCTCTTCTAAATGACAATTTTCAGGATGAAACATGAGGTAATGTTCATAGGTGCATTCAAATTTGGCTCATATTTTCCTTGCTTTGAACAAATTCTGAACAGAAGCAGCACAGTGCAGTATGAAACCAGACTATTAAATAAACTGTAACAGGATGAAGGCAGGAATAGCAGCATTGTGCTTTCTCAGCATAAATCTATTACTGATAGTTCTTACGAAGATTTCAGTAATGCAGCTATTTGTCTCACATAGCTGGGCAGAGTAATACAAATATGATGCTGGGGTGTACACAGTTAGGTTTGCAATTATTAGTTTCATTGAAAATCTTCGGGTCATGTCCTTACGCTGCTTGAATTTGTGCAAGAACACGCTGTGATAAAACTACCTGCTTAAAGGCTGGTCATGTGAGTCCTCATGCTCTATCTTTTTGTTCTTTGACTCCAGAAAAATCAATACAGGTACAGGAAGCCTGTTGTAAAATCCTGTTACCAGGGAGGAACAGAAACAAGACTGTGAATTAATGTTTCTGTTTGCCGTTCCCTTGCTTGCTGCCAACAGAAAGTAAAGCCAACCTGCTCCACACTCAGATGGACGAGTTCATCTCTAAAGTGTGCATCAGCTCTACAGGCATTGAGCCCTTCCACAAATTTGAAATTGTTTTTAATGCAGTTTATTGAGGCTTCTTGTGTCAGCCAAAGCCTGATTTGGAATAACCCAGGAAGAGAGCCAAGCATTAAAAAAAATTAAAATCTGAGGTTGTGGAACATCTAAAACATATTGATCATCATGTAATTATACTTGAAATGTATTAGGGGAAGTAGCTAAAACCATCTTTAGCTCTAAGAGAGCTGATGTGGGAACAGGCAAGAGGGCCTTGGGGAGGCTGCCTTATGAAGGATGGCAAAACTATTTCAGAAAATGTACAGGAAAGTTAAGTGAGTGAGCGCTAAATGACAAATGTGGTAACAACAGTCCCAAACTTTTCACTTTCTGAAGATTAAGAGAGCTATCATTTACATGAAAACCAGAAGCCAGGGAAGCAGATGCAGCACGAAGGAGCATACGTGTGACAAATCTCGCGTCTGAATTAAAGAGCAGTTCCTGGACTTGAAATGCAATGGCAGGCTGGAAATAAAGGAAATCTTCCATTTGCCTTGGATACTGGTAATATAAAAAGACTGAATTTGTTACATTTACATTTAAAATGGCTTTTTTTTTTCTTTTTAAATCTTGGATAAGCTATCTCAGAGCTACGGTTCCTAAGAGGAGGATCTTGTTTCATGACATAATAAAAGCCAGTGTCAGGCGAGATAGCAACTGAATCCCTAATTAAGAGACAGGATACTCTAAGCTTTAACATGAGCCTCTTGAAGTAAGTATCCAAAGCACCTTTACGTCCAAAACATTAAGCTCTCGATTAAACAAGTATAAAGTACTTTTGATGATAATTAAAGATGAGCTTCAGTCAAAATACTGGTTTTATGCTAGGGCCAAACTAAATCTTGGATTTGATCCCTCATTATCATTTGTTTTGACACATTCTGATCAGAATGGATCAGGGTGGTTCTATTAATAACCATCTCAAGTGCTTTACTTGTTGCACCTAAGATGGCACAATCAGTCAAAGTATCCCTGGTATCCCTCAAATCCTCCTTAAAAATAACTAGCAGTTGGTGAAGTGGGGAGCAGAGGAATATTGCTCATCTGAACTGTACCTGAGCGATCTGGAAATGAATACTGATGCAGAAGAGAGAAGGGTGACAGATCAGTTGGAAAGAAGCCTTCATAGGGAGCAGTGGGAGGTGGGGTGAGCTCTTTCTATATTGCAATCTGCTTCTTCTAAGGGCAGAATAAATACTGGGGGGAAGACAGTGTAGATGGCATCAAAGGAAGTTTGACATGCTTTAAAGCTTCGGTGTTTTTAATGAGGTTTACTCCAATAAAATGTAGAATCACCTGATAAGTAGATGACCTTGTGCTTGGCAGAGTTCAAAGCCAGAACTGCAGGCAGTCCTAATCACTGCATTTCTTTTCTTTTTTCCTTTTTACAGATCTTCAGAACTGGACCAGATCAGCTGTAGTGCTCTCTCAATGGTAGAAGCCTGAGGATGGTTGAAAGGAAAGGATGTACCACAGCAGTCTGTCATCAGTGCAACTTCCAGCAATCTTTGTAGTTAACAGACCGCAGTGGATTTTTTTTCTCCTCATGAATTTACCTAATCACTTTCTAAATCCTGTTTCATGCAATACTGTGAGAATAATCATCTAATTTTGGTCTCTAAGACAAGAAATACAAAAACAATAGGAGGCCCAGGAAAGAATGAAATTTTGCCAACAGATATTACAAAAACAGGCAACAATTACAGCATATTGACAAAGAAAATTACTAAAACCACTCATTATAAAAATAACCCAGCATTTCCTGCTGTGATAATGAATTTGTTATTTAGACCACATCACTGTTTTTGAAAAATCATCACCTGTAATTGCTTTTCTAAGCTTGTGACAAGGGCATTTCTCTTTTGGTGTCATGATGTCAAATTAAAAGTGTGCCTTTTCAACTGGTAACACTGTCTAGGGTTAAATAACAAATCTTTCCAAACTCTTTACTCAAAGATTCTTGTATCAGTTATGAATGAGAAGAAAAAAAGACAAATGTTTCTAGGATGTCACCAGTCTTTGCCTAGCAGTGAGAAATTCACTGTGAAGTTATGCTTCCTGTTCTCTACTACAAAACCAACTTTTATGTATTTTGCAATCCTCGTCCACTATTCCTGCTGTAATCTCTTGCAAAATGTTGAAAATTTAAAGCTCTACACTCACATGTTTATTGCCCTACAATCTGATTTACCAAATAAAAGAATATGCCCAGGATTTTCTGAGTATTTTTCTTGCCTACATATAGGTGAAATATTCCCTTTAACAAATAATTCTCACATTAAAAAAAAAAAAAAAAAACAACCATGCACATCAGGTCTAACTTATGCATGTGCAGCATCCTATTTAATAATTTACAGCTGTGCAAAGAACAAGCAGGTGAGTATATTCCATACAGCTGTGTAACCAGAGTGGAAACTGAATGACTGCATGCACCTTTCTATTTATCCAGGCCTCCAGAAAATGCAAACAGTAATTTCTAAACTGAAGCCAAAGCCATAAACGCCTTGAGACCCTTTCCAGATGGTACGGAGATGAACCCTTTTTCCCTGTCACATAACATGATTTTCTTTTCTCTCTCGAATCATTTCAATCCAACCTAATGTTATACAACATTTTTGCATGCCCTTTTTCCATTCGTGTTAATAATATTTGCTGCTAATTCTGATATTCTGTCCTTGTCATTGAAAATGCTGAAACCCATCCAATTCTTGCTTCATAACGTGCCTCCAAGATTACACAGCTCTTGATAAAAACGTTCCTGGGAAAGGATAAAAGTGATTACTGAGCTCAGTGCTTCAGATTTTAAGCTGCCATCAGGTGCATAAAATGTGCCAATTTTTCTCTTTTGCTTGTTTAACAGAGGAAAAAGCTCAAATGAAACACCTGAAAAAGGTTTTTTTTTTTTAACCTGATGTTCCTCCTGACCCCAAACTAAAGCTGCTATTGCCACTCTGAATATATTATTCCTTTCCTGAAAAGCCATTTAGTTGCAAATTCAAAAACTTTCTTACTGCATATGCCCGTATTAGCCATGCTAAAGGCCTGTAACAGAGCAGAGCCAATTCTGTACTAATGACCTCTCTGGTATTTCTATAGAAATGCTCTGTTAAACACCCAGGCATTTCAACTTCCAGTCACAAGACCTATAAAAAATTCATACACTGAATCTCTAGTTTCAAACCACAGCTCTGCATCATTAAGAGCTTTTCAATCCTCCCATCCCATAGACATTATGCAAGAAGGGGGGAGGGAGGCTTTATCCTCCCAGCACTTAAATTTCACATTTTCTTCTCCTGTCTGCGATTTCAACTGGCTCTGTCGGTAAAAATGTGTGAGCTGAGGACCACAGAAACAGGTTCATGTCTCATCACCACCGACAGAGCTTGAGAACACTTCGCGTTTCAAGATTCGCCCCCAACTTCTCTCATCAGCAAAGGGGCTTCTAAGGAATCCCGGCACCTCCGTGCACCTCGAGCTCTCTCCAGTGGGATTTCACTCAGAACCCACCAGCCAGCTGCTCGTCTCCGAACACCGCCCCTGGCCGACAGCCCCGTCCCATCCCCCGACAGCCGCCCGCCCCGCATCCATTCCCAGCGCCCCGCTGCCATTCCCGTTCCTCCCACCCCCGCGCATGCGCACGCCGCACAGTGACGCCATACCGCCCGGCACCGTGACGCTCCCTACGGGACCTTCCCTTCTCCGCCAATAGCATCGCGCGGAGGGCGGGCCGGCCCCGCCCCCTACGCCCCTGCCGCCGCCGCCGCCGCCGCCGCCGGGCCGCCGCGGGGTGGACCCGGATGAGGCGGCGGCACGCGAGGAGCGGCGGCCCGGCAGCTGGCAGCCTCGGGCCGTTAAGCGCGGGGCCGTGAGTGGAGGGAGGCGCGCTGGGGGGTGAGGATGCTGCCGGTGTACGCCATCCTGCTCTCGGCGCTGGCCGGCTGTCTCCTCACGCTGCTGCTGCAGCTGCTGCTCCTCTATAGGAAAGCCCCGCAGCCCCCCGGCGGGACCGGAGCCGACGACGGCCTCGTCTACGCCCGAGTCGCGGCCGGCCGCAGCCTGAAGGACTATCTGCGTGGCACCGAGCCCGCGGGCGGACAGGCGGCCCCGGAGCCGGCCCCGGCCTCGGCCCCCGCCGCCTCAGCTCCTTCGGCGGGCCCGGAGCCCGGCACCAAGCCGGCCCAGCAGCCCGAGCCCGGCCCGGAGCCTACGTCCAGCGAGGAGACGTGCCATTTCCTCAACGCCATCTTCCTCTTCCTCTTCAGGGAGCTCCGGGACACGGCCTTAGTGAGGAACTGGGTGACCAAAAAGATCAAAGTGGAGTTCGAGGAGCTGCTGCAGACCAAGATGACGGGGAAGGTGTTGGAGGGGTTGAGCCTTCGGGACGTGTATCTGGGCAACGTCCTGCCCGTCTTCAAGGCCGTCCGGCTCATCCGGCCCGTGGTGAGCAGCGAGGAGGGCTGTCCCGAGGAGCTGGGCTTTGAGGTGGACCTGGAGTACAACGGCGGCTTCCATCTGGCCATCGACGCGGACCTGGTCTTTGGCAAGTCGGCCTACCTCTTTGTCAAGCTGTCCCGGGTGATGGGCAAGCTGAAGCTGGTCTTCACCCGCCTGCCTTTCACGCACTGGTACTTCTCCTTCATGGATGACCCCCTGATTGTCTTCGAAGTCAAGTCACAGTTTGAAGGGAGGCCCATGCCTCAGCTCACTTCCATCATTGTCAATCAGTTCAAGAAGGTTATCAAGCGCAAGCACACCCTACCCAATTACAAAATCAGGTAAGAGGTGGCCTGTGCCCAGAATATTACTTGGGAAGGGGCGTGTTGGAGTTGGTGTTATGTTCTTAGTGGGTAAAGAGAGACTTCTGTCAGTATTTCTGCATTTGGGGCGCTTGTGCATCACTTACTGATAAAGCTTTCTATGAAGTTAAGCATGGATTTACAATTGCAACAGGTGGAAAAAGCCATCGCACTGTGAGACTGTGACAAGCCCCAAAATACATAGGACTAAGTGCTAGAAACAGGTGCTGGGAATTCTTGGATCCTGTCAGGTGTCTGACAACAGGACTGTGATCACCTTTGGGAAGGGCTGAAGGTTGGCTCTGTGGGACAGCATATGGCTTGGGGGTGGCCGCCTTCTGCTGCTAAGCCTCCTTGGCCAGAGCTGTGGCTGATGCTCGTCCAGAGAGACAAGGGTTTTGTTGCTTAATGTGAGATAGGAATAAGCCCACTCTCTAGGGAATATTTCTGGAATCACATGATAAGCAGTGTCCTCCTCCTTCTGGTTCGCTTTATTTCCTCATAACTTTGGTGAAATGTGCAAGTTGATAGGGGTAGGGGATGTGTTGCGACTGTTGTGGTGAAGCTTCGGGGAACTTCTTGGTTTTTTTTTGTTTGTTGTTTTTCTTTTCTTTTGAGGCTGAAACATTTTCTCTCTGTGAAGGCAGATGCTGCAGCACATAAAATGCAAAGTTCAGGGATGTTTCTGTAGTACAAGTGGCAGGTGGCATCATTTTGATTCCACCTTGAGTTCTGATTTGAAAAATCGATACTGCCTTACCTCTGTCAAGGTATACAATGTTCCCCTTATCTCAAGTATCTTAACACTTGTAGGATATGATGTTTCCTTTCTCTCTGGTTCACTATTTGTCGTTCTTGTTAGGTATTCAGGAAGGATTTTTGTTTACTACATTCCTCTCCAATAAGCCTTTTCTCTGAGATTCCTCTGGCATGAGTAACTGAAAATGTCTGTTTGAAGTGTAATTAGCAGTGTCATAATTTTTAAAGCCTTTTCAGCTGGTTCTTCTACAAGCTAATTTAGAAGGGTTCTCACCAAGGTGGATGTGTGAAATATCCAAAATTTGAAAGTCTCTAAAGGGCAGTAAGTAGTTTCTTAAAGTAATGCTGTGGTCCTTTGAGATTTCAGGGTACTGAATTGCTGTCTGGAAGGCCCTGGGCAGCAGTGAAACTGTCGAGCAATGTTGCTTCCATCCTTCTACCGTTTTGGAAAGAGACTGAAGCTGCTAAATGTGGAAAAGAGCCCAAAGGAGAGGCTGGGAGAGCACAGCCTCAGTGACAGTGAGCGTTCTCAGTGTACCTAGAAGGAGCAAGTAGAGGAAATAATCTTTATGCTCTCCAGACAAATTTCTAGCCTGTTTGTGGAAGCAATGATGATATGCTCTTCCCCTTAGCAGCAGGAGAAAGGCTTCTTTGCTTTTCCTTTGGGAGATTCATCTGGACAGCAGGGCTTTGTTTTTGTCTGGATGTAGGGGATTGTCAATATATTTCTCAAATGTTCTGCAGCATTTGGCATATGGGAGCCACTGGCATGTTAAAGAGACTGGAGGGGAGAAAGGGAAGAAGCAGAGCTCAGTGTTTGGGCCAGAAATGAGAAGAAGTGTATGAAGACGGGAGCTAACTGACACTAAGAACAACACAAGACACATAAATGGTTATAAAACTAAGAAGAGTTAACTTATTTTAGAACATTCTCTAACTTGTCAGGAGTTGGGAATTTGAGAATGCTTGAAGGGAAAGCACTGTCACAGCTGATTCTCACACTGGATAGTTGGCTTGTTTTACAGGGTGGTAGATGTTCAGTGGTGCCCATCCCATGTTTGGTGCTTTGGTCCTTTACATTTTATTTCATGTTCTGAGTATGAAATTCTGACCCACTGTTTTGCAACATTGGGGAAGGCAGGAGACTGAGCTTAATGCCTGTTAATGAAATTACCTTAAGTAAGGAAGACTGGGTCATTGGCATTCTGACTGTTTAGAACTCTGCCTTTGACATTTGCTAGTGGGACTGCAGAGCCATTCCCTCATGGGGACCTTTAGGCTCATTATCTGTGAACCTTCCAGCTGTCCACATGCACCCAGCATTTTGTAGAGCATATTGTATGAGTTAGTTTGGCTAGATCCCTAGACAGCAGAAGAAACTAACAGATAAGTAGTGACAGTGCACTCTTATGTGATGGTATAGTTGAGAATTAAAGCATTCAGGCTTATGTGATATAGAGAATTGATTTGGAAAATCTAGTTCCCTATTATAAAGATGCAGAACTTGGTATTTTCAATAGATGTACTTACATGGCTAATGTATTCTTAGAAATATTCCTTACCAAAGAGTGTAAAGAAGTCAGGACAGTTTCACAACTGCTTAATAACCTGCTACCTTATTTAAAACTTAACAATTTCTCATATACTGGGAATGTGCTT